AGCCTCCAATCTGGACCCTTTGACACCTTCCAGACTAAAACAAACACTACAAAGTCACCACAATATCGAGGTGTCCACACATCTGATCAGCCAATTCTTCCTTCATATCGGCTCACCATCCAAATATTTCCTCGACTTACAGCATTTCGCGCAATGGGCCGTTCCGCTCTCAGTCGAGTTGCAAGACAAAGTCCGAGAAGTAGTGAGGCAGATGCTTGTCAAGGGCAAAGGCGGCGGTGGACGCGTCGGTCTTGACCGATTTCTGGTACACTTACAGCGGCGAATACAGGATTCACCGCACTACAGGAATCACGAGAACACACAAGTTCATCATGTTCCGATGCAGGTATTGCTGTCGAAGCTGCACCTGCTCAATATTTCACTTCACAAACGGGAATTATTGACGTTACTTCGACATTTTGGAATGGAGGAAGACCTCGAGGCTGTGGACTACGCACTCTTTCTGCAGTACTAAGCTCACAAAAATGAAGTTGAAATGTTTTGCTTCTGTTCAAATACTTAGTTTGAATTCGTGATTTTTTCATGGCGGGAGGTTAAGCTGAGATTACGGAAATCGGGGAGCCGCGCCATATTCAAGTCTAGACTTAACATACTGGCGATGTCATAGTATCCTTTGTCTCCACAAACATAATACATTGCTCCGACTAGGCTGTGCTACGTATACTTTCTGCAACGCTGGTACGAACTAGACATAAGATTCTTGGCGTTTACGGGGTCGGTTGGTCTGCATAATACAGTGTTAATCTCTTGAATAAAGATTGTGGAGTTCACGAGCCTTTGGTCAGCATGCTGAATTGTTCGTAATCATGAGGTCAAGCCGTAAGACTCACTCATTGTAGAATTTTCCTCGTTTGTACGAAGTCTCCGCTATTTGTCGCCGAGTAACGTTGAAAAGAATGCGACACTGCTACGTCCTTGTCGCACTAACTTCCATCCTGAGTGGAGTTACATCGGCAGGTGCAGCCTCAACTCAGAACACGATGATTGCAGTCAACGAGATTTAAGGAGATCAAAACTTCCGGTCCAACCGAGCGTTTTCTGCGTCGCCATGATGAATTGGGCGCTGAAGCCACGGAGGAACGGATAGCGACGGGGCCCATAGCACTCAACAACAGAATGATTAACAAGCTAGCCAAACTCGAAGACAAGGTTGTCGATCCAAAGTTAGCCGACAAGTTGCTGGAAGGAACCATACTTCAAACGAAACTCGACTCGGCTCTCTCCTTATCAGGGAGAAATAAATTGTTCGAGAGTTTGCGAGCAGAAGGTGTGGATCCGAATGCGTTAAGCAAAGTCATCAAAATGCACCCCGCCATTGAAAAGAAGTACAGGATTGTCTACACGATGTACGAAGGCTACGTAAAGGTCGCCGATGCGAAAAGACTTGCGAAACTTAAAAGGAAGAGAACCGACAGCTAGTTGCCGCCGTATTTTGGGACGTTGTTCCAGAATTTAAAATTCGCCTCACCAGAAAAGGGCACGTGGAACTTAGGTACCAACAAGTAAAAAATGAAAAGTCATGACTTTTGGGCCTGGTTTGTCGAGATACTAGCCTTTTTTCGGTTGATATCTGCAGATATCACCAGTAATAAGACCTAAATACTACGTTTGCATTGGTAAGATGTGGTTTCCAATATAATTAGCAGTTGCGACTTCATGGAATTGCTAAGAGGCAATTGCCTGCATGCAGAGCAGGATAGAGAGAGGATAGCGAGAGGATAGCGAGAGGATAAAGGGAGGATACTGATTTGGCTAACGTTAGGATTCGAGTAAATTTTAGGGTTACTGGTTTCAGAACTATTAATAGAAAACGAATTGTTTAATATCGGTTGTTGACTCGTTTAGTCGGACGAAAATAATAAAATTTAAATCCATAGATTATATCTCCGTTTATAGTTCGAGCTCAGAAGTACTCGACTACAGGATTGAGCAAATGTAACGTTAACTAATAAAGAAGAATTTGTAGAGTTCACTATGGCCTTGGGAGCTTTCTTCATTATCAGATGCCCTTCCTCCTCTCCAACTCTTACATAAAAACCCTACGGTTTAACGAAAGGAGCCATCACAGATCAAACATTGAGTTTCGCAATGTCAAAACGATAACTATTCTATTTTTTTCACGGATAATAAGTTCGCATTTCTATTGTTAAAGGAGGACATTTGGACCGGCGTCGTTTTCAACAGCATGAAACTCGCCAACGATTTCTTTCTCGCCTTTTTGAGCGACATATTGAGCAGTTCCGCCTCCACTCGCTGCTTCTGCATCTCCAGAGTGACACAACTCGATTCTCTCAATTCGGAGCTTCGTACACTGCCGCCGCTCTCTCTCAGTTGGGATAGATACATTTCCAGACGCTGCGCCTGCATTTGCAACTGCAGACGCTCCTCCTTCTGCCGCTGTCGTCGTCGAAAATCCCGTTCGCGGTTCTGCTCCTGACGACTGCGTTTGAGGCCCCCAGAGTCGCTTAACGAGTGCGTTTCATTGAGGATATCCGACAGAATCGGGACCTCGTCACTCGCGTCGATCATGGCAAAAGCCTCTTGCATCGTCGCCTTGGGATCTTCATCGTCCTTCAGTAGCACGAAGCTCATGCCGGTCAAACGAGAATGGTCATGTTGGAGCTACCGCTGCTATGGGTAACGAGTACAGTCCACCCTATTAGTCAAGCGTCATTTACGGCATCTCTTTTTATCCGAGACACTGTAATACAGCCTACAACGGTTATCATCTTTGCAAGAATATTTCAGGTTTTGAATCTAGAATAGCATGAGCCTACGTAATAGACTATTAAACTACACTATTTACTGGCCTGGAGATCTGCATTTGTTATTACAGTTCTCTAATAAAACTTCATTTGCAGTGCTTCTCGACTCTTTTTCGTGAGGCAGTACTATTTCTTTGGTATGAACATCATGATGCGTCGCCTACGAGTAAACTCTGCTCGATATCTTGCAGCACTGACTCGAAACCCAATTGCTTTTGTTTGGCCAGCACTTAGCCCGTTTGGTCGACAAATTGCTGGTGGTTCGGCAACGCGCGATTGAAATGAACGTACATGTCCAGGCAGACCTTCATCATTGTCATCCCCGGTGATAGCTCGCTCAGAACAAGCCACTGTTTCTCTTGAACATGAACGTCAATAACAGGAATGCCGAACGCTTCCAGAAACTGACTTTGTCCAGAGCACACAGCCACTTGGCGGTGCTGATCGACGATTCGCTTGCCTGCATAGCGGAACTGCATCTTCAAAAGGCTTCCGTATTCTTCCGAATCCATTGTGAACGCTTATGATACTGCCGCCGCTTTGGCTTCCCGCTGTGACTGAATTCCAGAAACCATTAGAATTCAGATATCAAGTTCATCTTTTAGGATTTACTGGAGCTTACCTGTCCGCGTTCAACTGCATTTTCCACATCATACTTGATCATTTCGTGCCAGAAGCAGTCTCCGACCGTGTTGTGGTCGAACGGTAGGATTCGACAGAATAGAACCTCAATGTAAGACGTTGTGTCCGATGTTGTGTTCACATTCGCAAACGCGAATGGTGACATGCACGCCTCAAGACCATTTGACATAAAGGCTCGGTCCGTCTCAGCAAATAACTGCCCAAGATCTCCATGGAGTCGGTTAATTGCTGCTAGAACGTTGTCATCTGTGTCAAAGGTAGAGTGAACATAGTACCATGTCGACCAGCGGGGGTTACTCTGTAATGCATGATCATAGTGAACATACTGCGAGCTCATAGTTTCGAAGATACACACTAACCTTCACTTGCTCCTGCATCTGTAAAAGTCTCCTCAACGTTTCAATTGTTGTCATTTGGTCGTTGTATAGACCACAAAGGTATCGATTTTCCGCATCCGCTTCTCTCCGTAGCCGCCGAGACTTTTTTGCTAGACCCTTCCACACACCGAAGAGGAGATCATTTGGTTGCTCTGAAGTCGAATCCACCACATGGGAAGTTGCATTTACACACTCTTTTTCAGCGGCTTCCTGTATCTTTTTCATGTCAGCGATACGGTTCTGCAGCAATTCCGCCTCCGCTCGCAGGCGGAGGATCTCGAGTTTCTGTCGATCCCGCGACACGTTCCGTTTGGAGAGTTGTGCTCTGGGTCGCGAACGGGTTATTGTTTTCGTTGTACTCTGGTTCGGTACATTTGAGTTCAACGTGATATTGTTCCAGGTGACATTAGTTGAGTCAAATTCACCGGGACTGGAAGAGTTCTCGTCACTGAACAATACATCCCCGCACTCGTCGATGAAAGCTAGCGCCGCCTGGAGAGTCTCGTGTGCTTCTCCATCAGGCGAGAGCAAATTCATTGGTGAAGTTTGATTGTTCGGTAAGCCTAAAAACCAAAAATAATCTGAAATAGGGCCTTCGATGCGTTGGCCACAATTGAGTGACGACGTGGCTTGTTGGAGTTCGGTCACTGTTGAGCGTACAGGTGATGACGTGAGTTGCAGTGAGCACTTCACCACGAATTTCAGGGTTAGTACGAGAGATTAGTACGGCTGATGGACTGTGCATCTGTGAATTTGTAATCAGTCGACGATCGATTTCAAATCGTCAGCCTAATCGTGCCAAATAGGTACACATCGTCCTAAAGAAGTGAGATGTTGCTGGAGGGGGGGGGGGGAGGGAATGGCTCGATCGATGTATTGTTTTTATAATGCTGAATCAGTAGGAGGGGGACTCCCTCTGCTCGTTGCTTATCATCATGCTTTTCTGTGAAATGGTGTACACTGATCCAGTCACGAAGTACTGTTCTGCACATGAACTCCAGGCAGGGATCGGTAAAAATCCCAAATTAGTGCTAACAAATAATAATAGTACCGCTTCTATTAGTAGTGCTAAGTGTGGTGAAGCAGATTCAGAATATTCCGAAACTGGGCGCTATCAGTTCTAATCAACCAAGATCGATCACCACCCATTATGGCGATCTTAGTGTGGTCCACGTCACACCTGGCCAAACCGATGGCGATCTCAAGTGTGGTATACATGACTCCTGCCCAACTAAATTGTACCCACGATTCATCGAGTCTGCGAGGGATTATGCGATCATGAGGTAAAGGACCTATGATCTGGACGGACGATGTTTGTACCACAGAATTTAGGATGACAAAAATCAATTCACAACGGTAAACGCGTCCTATTCTTGTCGATAGAAAACAGATGTGGAAATCGTTACCCATTAACTAGGGTAAATCTATTTTGTTTTCGTTATTGTGTGAACACAAAACACAACTTTGGAGCTGTTATTCCAGAACAAGTCTATATTTGGGGATTCTGGGACTTAGCATATTTTAGTGCACGTTGGCTCAATTTTGTTTAAGGTCTGTGCTGAGGTATGATTTATTTGGTATGAAAGACAAATGTATTGAAGTTGAAGTTAACCTACATTGGAAACTGGCAACTGCATGATACGGCTTCATCACAACAAAAGCGATGGCTTTATGATAAAATCGCATACGCAAATAGGGCTGCAACCTGTAAATGCAATCATACCACGGCGCGTTATTCAGCATCATTTCCAGCACTGCAATGCACCACACTCCACACGAGCTGCCGTCCTGCTGCCTACACCACTTGACCTTACTGTAGACAACTGCGTCCATCAGTTCCAGAAGCTCCTCAATGACACCACGCACCCTCTTTTCAATAATGGCGTAGTTCCACTCACTTTGCATCGGGTCGAACATGAAACATGTCGCTTTGTTCGTAGTAGAGTTGATCCTTCTGTTCACCAAGTATGCGACCCAGTGGTTCTGGATGTGGAATATGCCGGTGACCCGGTCGTTCGTCTGGTTCGCCGCCCCATACCCACCAGCAATACGGCGCCTTTGATCCGGCAGTGTGAACTCCTGGTTGCTCGGATTAATAATACCGACCCCTTGGTGTTGTGACCGCAACACCATCATGGATATCAGTATCGATGTAGTGTGGAGCCATAGATTTCCGCGGAAGTCGAGTAGTTGGTGACCATCCAACACTTCTCCGGGTACCCGACTTACGCTTAGGTTCAGCGTTTCCACGTAGCCCTTGCGTTCACTCTACAAGTAAAAGATAGATTTGGTTATGTTTGGTACAGGTTTGGTATAGAGTTTGTACGTGTCGTGAGATTCGGTGTAGATTTGGTAGCTCTTTACTTGAACTCGCAACTTCGCTGATGCTTGACTCTGCTGAACTACCGCTCTCTTGTGACGAACCCCCATCTTCCACGACAGGTTCACTGTCGCTGCCACTTTCATCTTCCTTTGAGAGCCCTTCACTTCCTTCTTCACTTGGAATCGGAGCCTTGTCTTCGAAGTCGGAGTCTTCCCTGTTGTCTGACGAATCCGTGTCGATCCCAAACATTTCTTTGAGCGCGTCTTTTTCCCACCGATCAGTTGTGGTTGAGCCAGTGGCCTCTCTCGCAACATCACCACTTCGAAGCCTCGCGGCTGCGTGGCGGATCATCCGTTGGCGGCCATCGACAGCCAGTTGAGTCTCGTGCAGATCGATCTTCGCGCGCCCTACCTTCTCCAAACGATGTGCTGCTAGGACGACTTGACCGTTGACAGAGCGTAGAGGTGCTGTGTTCTCAGGATATTTACGTTTCTTCTGGCAAGCCTGATTATCAGAGATCTCCGGATCTGTGTCTGCACGACGCACACGCGACCAAGGTCCAGCAGGAAAGGTTGGAGAGCTATCGGGCGCCTGTAGGTTTGGTAGTGTCAGAAACATCGCAGATCATGTATTAAGGAGATGTAGAAAGCGCCACATACCGGATCAGTCATGCGCAGCAAAGGACCTTCACTCCGTAGCTGTTGTGTGCTCAAGGGGGGGGGGGGATCGATGAATGGCGTCTGTGAGGGCGGTGCACAAAATTTCAAAAAAAGCAGCATCATGTAATTGTAATTTATCCTTCACAACTTTATTTTACCTCGTCCCAAGTTCAACCCAAATCCGAAAACCGGCTCGATCTGGTCCACCAATTTTGCACAAAACTTGACGGAAATCACACAGAATTAGTATCCTAAATTCTGTGGTACCAGCGTGTTCCTGATCTGGACTCGCCAGTGGCGTAAACAGCCGACCAAAGAGCCAGTGATAACCGGGGATTTGATGGAGTCATAGCAGGCGTTCAGCTTTTGACATAGGACGAGGCTAATATATTAAACAGTGTTGTTTTTACTTCTTACTTAGCAAGTGTTCTTCATCTTCGCTATTCCGGGCACTATATTCACTTTGGCCCACCCGACGACGCGCTCCAGACGTACCTACGCAAGATCGAAGTTCGAGCGCCTGGATTACTTGACCAGGACGCTCGTCAACTCTCACTCAAGACCAACCGCTAAAGAAATGAACAAGCTCGTAAAGGAAGGAAGGCGATTTGCCGACCTAAGATACCCCCGGGCCAAGACCAACATCGGCCCCCAAAACCGACGATTTTACGCCTTAAGATCGACAGACTGCGATCTTATACCTTAAGATAGACGACGCGAGACCGTAATCGACTCAGCAAGTAGAAGTATCCCCGCTGCTCCGAGTACAGGTGTAACAATAAAAAAAAAGTGACAGTGATGTAAGGTGGTGCGTTTCCCGATGGTGCGGCAGGGATTCGGAAGCTACGCGCCTTAAACAGCTACTTCGCTTCAAGTAACTCACCTCAACGTGTTCTGCGCCTTCAGAAATTCAACACTTCCATTCTTTTCCACAGTTAGCAGCTTTGTTGGACATCGATGTACGCGTGGCATCTGCTACGAAGCTACTTCAACGGTCCATCATCAATTATCCCGCCTTTCAGGCGTATTTTGAACACGATAGTATTGGTAAGACGGAGCAAAATGTTGTCTGCTCCATTTGAAGGGCAGATTGGAATTTACCGAATGAACTGGAGGCTATAATTCAGCGAGTAGCTGTCTTAGCACTTGCTGAGTCTCAATCTGCGAGCTTACTTTCGTCCACTATGTACATTTTTCTTCCGGTTGTATCTGCTCGAATGAAATCATATAAATTCTCAGCGTACCAGCTTGATGGATTTCGTGATGAGGACACAAATGAGCGTAACTTTACAGGCGTCGAGGTTCCACTACCAAGTATTAGGTCACCGCTGTATTAATCGCACCCTTTACCAGATTACTACTCGATTGCCGAAGCCCTCCGTGGAAATGGGTATGGCTTTATTGCTCGATCCGCGTACGAAACGAGCAGCGGCAAACTACCTTCGGGTTCCAGAAAACCCTGAATGTGCTGACAAAATTCTGGAAGAAGCTAAAGAACTTCTTCGTAAAGAACACCGTTTCTTGTACAGGATTGCTCAGGAGAATGACAATCAGGAAAATAGAAACGGGAATGTAGTTTCGGTGTCACCAACTGCTGAACCTCCGGCAACGTTGAAACTGACATGGAGCTGCTGTGTGGAGATGGAAATTTGCAGCAGACACTTGCTAATCCTTTCGAAGATGTAGTAAATTGCGAAGCAGATGTAGAAGTCGAGAAGTGGTTGAATTACCGTGTTGATTGGGCTGAGGTTGTGAAACAGCAGATCACCGACAAAGATGAGCGTAACGAAGTTCTGGTCAAGTTGACCATACGGAATCGGGAGGGAAAATCGGTGTGGAATGTTGAGCAGCTCTGTCAGTACATTAATGTTTGTAAGTGGTTTGCCGATTTTGGACAGGAAGCGTTCCCAAACTTGCAAGAAATTGGCTAGGACGGAGTTCATCCACGCCATTTCAGGAACACGTTTTCTCGACGGCTCGATTGTCATGGGCCCATTGCGGACACGTACTGACAATGAGCGTGCTTAACGTCAGTTTGTATTGCGTCACAATCGTGCTGAGATTCAGCGTATGGAAGAAAGCAAGAGGGGGCTCTGGTGAGACCTTCAATAGTTTATTAGATCATATTAGTAGTGCTATTAGTCTTAGTTCTGCAAAAATTTTCACTTATTAGCAGAACTAAGACTAACCATGGTAAAACGAGTGAGGAAACTTAGTCTTAGTGCTAACGGACCGAATCCCTACTCTACCAAACCCTGATTCCAGGATATACGTAGTTTAGGGGCTTCTGGCAAGGTTAGGCAACTACTCGCTGGCTCCGCATCGATCTAGACCCCTCCTCCATGCTGCTACGAGAGACTGTGAGCGTTGTGCATCTATTATTCCTCTTTCTTAACCTCAGTTCGGATGGCGAACATGCGCTTGGTAATTTTCCATTCGTTCTCAATTACATTATCTTTAAGTTCCGTATGGCCAACCAATTCACGGATTTGATTAACGAATCACCTAAAGCCAGTTTGGAAGTAGGTAATTAAGTTGGAGTGTGGAACACCAAGTTCACTTCACCTCGTATTATTACCCTACGAATGTCCTATGCTCGCAATCTTGCATCACCGCTTCAAATCTCATTTTCTTGTCCTTGGACAGCACTTTACACGTTCAATCGACGAATTATTGGCCATTAAATAGCTCGCAGTCACAGCACATACAATCATCTATATGATAGTTTATCCTTAATGAGATAATGGGATGGTGCATAACAGAAGTGGGAGCGGAATCTATCGAAGTGAAGTCCATCAGAATGATAGTGTTTGAGAAGATTGACTGGAAGCATAAGGACTGGTTCAGATGTGAAGCCTGGAAGAGCTTGTCCAGTACAGTCGAAATTGCACCAACTCGATATTTCTATTCACGAACTTGGTACGGAACGAAGGTTTTGGAGTTGCGAACTACTGTACACACTCCTTCTGCCATACTAAATATTTGAAACGGTTTGACGGAACCCCGGGGTCCCCAAAACTGTTGTCAAATTATACATTTAGTTTTTATGGTACTTCCGGTGGCCAAGACCCTAGCGAGAATAGTCGTCAGTCAATCCGTTATTACAAACATGAGTGGAATGCTTCATTATTTCTAATCATTATTGTATTCTGTGACTATTTGTAGTCGAAATAAAAAGCGTGACGACGCTATTACGTTCAATAATATCTGCGAAGCTCACTGTCACACGATGGATGAGCTTGCACATTCATAAGACATTGTTAGAACAAAGCTGCGGCACAAGTGAAAACTCAATCCAATAAGTTAAGACTCTTGGTTAAAACAGAAATTGGTTTATCTGATCATTCCACGTCATGTCTTAGTAGTACCGGGATGTTGAGCCAAATGGGACCCCGGGGTCCCGCAAAAAGTTTTTTTCTGGCGGCCAAAAGCTTGATTGTTATAACCTCGTTCAAATGTTTCATTATTATTTGTCAAAATTAATGTTACGACTCAAGTTTGAGCTTCGTGAACTTCTTCATGCTCGTTATGAGGCGATATGATCTTGGACTCGTGGGCGTATCGCTTGTGCTCACCTTCGCTAAAAATGCATTAAAAGGTTCTGTAAAAAAAAAAAAACGTACAAATCGGTCCCAGCAAACGTACAAGCAGCAGATAACGATGAACGTCGTCGTGGTCATGAGCACTAAAATCCACTCCGGACTGTAATAAATGTACGTTTCGTCTCCAGTGGCACTTAGATGAGTTCGTAGCAATGTACTCAACGCCGGAACTGTAAGAGCTGACAGAAAATTCCCACATAATTGCTGCAAAGCGGCCACTGTCGCTGCACTGGTTGGGAACGCACATTCGACTCCCAGTTCCAGTGCAATCGGCTGTACTGGTCCCAGTACAAACCCTAGAAACAGCAGACTGAGTAGCGTAAAATGGATCTCGATCTTGGGTGCCAGTCGAAATAACGCAATCCCCAGTGCTACAAGCAGCAAACAAAGCTGCAACGCCGCCTTATGACTTCGCATTTTGTCCACTTCTCGACTGATAATTTGACTCCCAACCAGAGAACTGATGATAAAAACTGCTCCAAATATTCCAATCTGAGTCGTGGTGAAGTTTGTGATACTCAGAAACTTTGTCAACAATGCGCAAATGGCGTTCAACACACATTCTGCCGTTGAAAACGCCACGACAGTGTGCCAGAATCCACTGTGGGAGAAAGCATTGGCCCACTGGCTCCAGTCGTAGTCGTCTTCTAAATGAGAAATGGGTACAAAATGATCGGATCCAGATTTAGGATATGACTGAAAAAATAGGAGCGCAATAATCCAAGAACCTCCTGCTAACACAGCCATACAGAAATTGTAGAACGGGACTTCATCACTTGATAATACCACGAATGGAGCGGTGAGATAGACGATTGCAGTTCCCATGGCGTTCGCGTTGATAGCGACACTCGTAGCTGTGGCACGCATTGACGAAGGGAACCAGTTCGCAGACAGCACAGCTGGAGAGTTGACCATGAACGGCATGGCAAACGATGCTAGTAATTGTCCAAGTACCGTCACGTATGGTTCTTGGGTACCGTCGAACGAACACGCGAAGTAACGTAAAGATGCACCTCCAGCTTGTAGAAATCCTCCGAGTAAAACCCCAAACCGAAGACCGAACTTATCCATGATCCAGGATCCAATGAAGGAACATGGAATGTACGAGACGAAGTAAATAGTGATGAGGTGCTCGGAGTGAAGCTAGAAATGCATAATGCTAAGTAATCTCTAAAATTGTCAAACATATTGAAAACCGAACAGGATACGTACCCGTTCCTGCCATCGCGCCTCGACGATGCTATCAATTGGCGCGTACGAGTAGCAAATAGCTTGGTTGAGGGCACTTAGTGCTGACAAGATCGCGAGCATGAACCATTTCGTACAAGTGTCTCTTGAAGATACCGATCCTGTTCGTTGACGGTGCTTCGGTAGTAACGTGCTACCCTCGGCTGGTTCCAGTACGTAGATATAAATGTTAGGCGCTCTCCATCAAGTTGACCTGGCGATCATACCTTTAGCTTCAGTTGGTTCGCGTACTGACCCAGCCATATTGTGCATCTGAAGTTGAGTTTGAAAGATTCCACATCAACTCTGCAGTGGATCGCAGCCGACGGCTCAGACGCAATCATGACCGTTCATTCCCGAAGGTCGCCCAACAACAAGTCTCAATTCTTTTCAAGAAAAGATTATCATGGTTTAGGATCCCTGTGCATTGCACGCAGACTCAAACTCAGGATCAAGCATTGATAAATCTTGTTTGACCCTAAAGGGTTAATGAGCAGGAAGGACTGGGTTGGGTTTAGCCAGGGTCTATTTTGGAGAATTGCAGTCGCATCTGCCGCATTCTTTAGAACATTTGCATTTGCTAGATCAGCATCTAATCTACGAGGTCTTTTTTAGTCTCCTCTAAATATTTTTACAGAGAATATCTCGCTGAAGGCAGAGGATTTAACGCAACGAAAGAAGGGAAAACCGCCAACTATCTGACATTTAAAGCGAAGGGCGGTCGTCGCTCCTAACAGGAAAAGCAACCGCACTTTCGCTGTTCCCTGATAGGAGCGGCGACCGCTCTTCTTGCAGACACACTATAACGTGGCAGAACCGTGTCGGAACAAGTTGACATTACACGAAGGGGGTAAGGTCATCGAAACAAGCATCACCAATAAACAACCTTCTACATCATTTAGTCGAGGTGGACACTGTAGATAACACGATCTTCGTGCGACCACTGTGGTGGTGCCACAACACATGAAAGCCAGCTTTACAGGTATCAAAAGAACATGGTACTGCAGTTGTCGGGGGAAAGTGCAGCGGCAAAGTGTCGGAAATTTTGAGAAAAAGCGAAGGCATTATCGCTGTCGTTGCTTACTTATAAGTTGCTCAGGGTACAGTAAGCAGAGCCTCGTTTCGATAGAGGGGTGATCAGAAGCTATGTCGGCAATAAGGATAATAATCGATTTATGGTTACGCACAACCACACTTTACAAGAAAGTGACTTGCGACGTAATCCGAAATTGGTTGTGCTCGCTTCACCCGGAATGCCGGTCAAGTCTCAGCCAAAACACTCGGCATAGTATTGAGCGCCATGCGTCCTCCTCATTATTCAATTTACCCAACGCCAACAACTTCCACCATCTTTCGTTCTCCAACCCCGACCAAGATGACTAAAGTCGCCATTGTCTTCTATTCCACCTTTGGTCACGTTACAAAGATGGCGTCTGCAATCCAGAAGGGCATTCAAACGGTGCCGGGTGTGCAAGCTCAACTGTACCAGGTGAAGGAGACGCTCAACGAAGAAGTGCTCGCTAAGCTACACGCGCCACCGAAACCCGACTTCCCGATTGCCACTCCGGACGTGCTGAAGAATGCCGACGGGATCATGTTAGGTTTCCCAACGCATTTCGGCATGGTACCGGCCCAGATGAAGGCGCTTTTCGATGCGAGCGTTGCTTTGTGGGTCAAGGGTGAACTGATTGGCAAACCCTGCGGTATCTTCTTTAGCTGTGGATCGCGAGGTGGGGGCCAAGAGGTTTCTGCGATGAGCACCACGCCGTACATCGCGCACCTCGGCATGTTGTTCGTGCCGTTGGCATTGAATGGGAAAACCATCGAAGGTTCCGATGAGATGCACGGCTGCAGCCTGTGGGGCTCAGGTACTGTTGCCGGCCACGATAGATCGCGTCAACCATCGGCGCTGGAGTTGAAGGTGGCCGAGATGCAAGGCAAAAAGTTCGCTGAGATCACCAAGAAGTTGGCGGCGTAGTGAAGTTGGACAAAGACCTCAACCGTTCATTTCTGCAGTGTTCTATTGCGCCATACTAGCTTTTCTAGCTGCAATACGTTGAAGAGCATTGTTGAATAGGAGTAAGTGAAAAATCAAATTTTCGCGACATTCTCAGAAAACAGTTTAAGAAATCGTGCCGGGTAGATAATTTTTCATGTCCACCTTCGTTAACCCGAAGTGGATCTCGGCTAGGACACAGATATCCTCATTGCGCTACAAAACTGAAGCGAGTGGACTGGATAAGTTGAGCAAGCTCCGAAAAGCATGGAACCCCATTTAAAAAGTAGATAAAGCGTTTTTCAGACAGAATCTATTCCTAAACTCCATTTCTTTCTCACTTCCACCAACGCTTACCCGTGTTGATAACCAACGGATAAGCTTGCACCGACGGAAAATATCGAAGTATTTCAAGTTTTCCTCACCCGTAATCGATTTCTTTTGAATGTAATTGAAGTGTATGATTGTTTGGGCCGCATAAAATAAGTCTTCCATCTCGTCCCAAGGAGTCGAAATCTGCTTGAGAATTCAGCAGAAAGTTGCAGCACTACTGGGATGTGTCCCATCAAACACCTGGTCGTCGTTAATGCATGGTAAAACGATCTTGGTCTCGTGGGCTGAGCGCTTATACTTGCCTTTGCTATGTAATCATTCAAACTCCACAAGGTTAGCCTAGCATCATGAAACAAAATAACAGGACAACGTACAATAAGCAGAACACTACAAACGTTGCAATCGTCAGGATGACCATGACACCCTCAGGACTGGTGAAAAAATCCCTCATGATTGCATGATCTTCTGTGTGCATATGCTGCAGTGCACTCAGCCCAGGGACTGCAATAGCTGACAGCAAATTCCCACATAGCTGCTGCAACGCTGCCACTGTCGCTTCACTTGTCGGGTACGAACATTCAACTCCAAGCTCTAGAACGATGGGTTGAATGGGCCCCAGCACGGCTCCAAGCACGAGCAGACTCATCAGTGTCGCCTGCACTTTCACCTTCGGTACTAGTTGAAATAACCCTATCGATACAGCGGTTAGCAGTAGACAAACCAGCGATACAGTCTTATGATTTCTCATCTTGTCGACCTTCTGACTGACCAATTGACCCCCGACAAGTGAACTGACGATGAAGGCTGCGCCAATAAACCCAATCTGGGTTTTACTAAACGTAGTGACACTGAGAAACTCGTCTAAGAGCGCACTTAAGGCGTTTACGATGCATTCTGCTAACGAGAATGCCATGATCGTGTGCCAGAATCCAGTGTGGCTGAATGCCGTCCACCATTGTCTCCAGTCATATTTGTAGTCTAATTTTGAGGTTGAGAATTCATTGACACTGGTTGTAGGTTTAGAACGAAAGAAGAGCATAGCAACCACGCAGGACCCAATTGAAAGTAACGCGACGTACAAATTCCAGTCTGGAATATCATCACCAGAATGCACAAGAAACGGTGCTGTCATATACACCAGAGCTGTACCCAAAGCGTTCGCGTTCAAAGCTACACTTGTGGAAGCTGCTCGCTTGGATGGAGGAAACCAGTTTGCAGAGAATAGAGGCGGCGAGTTTACCATGAACGGCATTGCTAATGACGCGATAAGTTGTCCAATTAAAGTCACGTAAAGCTCGCCGACTGGAGTGAGAAAACATGCCAGATAGCGTAGGCTTGCTCCAACTGCCTGTAACAAGCCACCAAGTAGAACTCCATACGCCAAAGATTTTTGATCCATGATCCACGATCCGATGAATGAGCACGGGAGGTAAGAGACAAAGAAGATCGTGATGAGAGTTTCTGCAGGGAGCTACGTTAAAGAATCACGAATACGTCAGGGAATCACATTTATCCAAAATAGATGTACAAATACAAAATTCACTTACTAGATGTACCCACCTCTCCTCCACAATAGTTGCAATTGGTGCGTACGAGTAGCAAATGGTCTGGTTTACAGCGCTAAGGACTGATAAAATCCCAAGCATGAACCACTTCTCATAGGAATATCTGGATGATTGCGACAGTGCTGGCTTCTGAACCGCTTTGTCCAGCAACACAACTCCTGTAAAGAATATCAGTGATAGCAAACTCTACATACACATACAACTAGGTGAGTACGCACCTTCGATCTCGACGGCTTCGCTTGGTAGCGCAGTCATTCCCTTTCTGCGTCCAGTTACAATAGATTAACACCACATTTGAGCCGTTAAGCGTCTAGATGTCAAATAGTTATGGCAGAGAGACGCACAAACAAACCAAACCAACCACCAAATCTTTTAGAGCTTTGCTGTGATCTCCAAGAATCGGATCTCCCTCTGCACACACGACTGTTCGCGCCTTGTTGGCTCGTAACGTATTCACCAGGCAGACAAGGAGCGATCCAGAGCTTCAGCGTGACTTTTCATTATCAAGTTAGAGAAATATGCGATGCTGGAAGAGCTAGAAGAAACTCCCCGTGGCGCGGGACGTCCTGGTAATGAGAACATTCTCTTTGCCGCGAGATCGGGAGTTCGTGGCAGCTTCATGAGCGAATCGCTTGTATGTACCATTGCTGCATAGAAAAATTCAATTGCGTCAGTTCGAAGCATTCGATTTTAGAAAATATAAACCAAGAAAACGTACAAGAAGCAGAAAATGATGAACGTCGTTGCTGTCATGAAGACCATGACCCACTCCGGACTAGCGTAGAAATACTTGGGTGGCACATGACCCGTTGAATCCACGTGCGTCCGTCGCAAAGCACTCAAACCAGGCACAATAATTGCCGACAAGAAATTGCCACAGAGTTGTTGTAGCGCAGCGACTGTAGCTTCACTGGTTGGATATGCGCACTCGACTCCGAGTTCGAGTACAATAGGCTGCAATGGTCCAAGAACTGCTCCTAAGAACACGAGACTCACCAGCGTAGCATGGACGTTGACTTTGGGTACCAGTCGAAACGAAGCGACAGCAATTGCTGTTAATAGTAGACACAGTTGTAGAGCTGTCTTGTGGTTCCTCTTCCTGTCCACGTACTGACTGATCACTTGTCCACCTATTAAGGAGCTTATGATGAAGATCGACCCCACAATTCCGATTTGGGCCTTCGTAAAATGGGCAACACTCAGAAACTTTCCCAAAAGTGCACACATGGCGTTCAGAATGCACTCAGCAACGGAAAAGGCCACAACAGTGTGCCAAAATCCACTGTGTGTGAATGCAGTGGCCCATTGACTCCAGTCATATTCGTCACGTAGTTGTACATCAGATACTATTGATTGAGCCACTCCTGTCCTTGCAAATGACCGGAAGAAGAAGAGCGCGAAGATCCAAGAGACAGTGGCAATCAATGCCACGTAGAGATTCCAGTAAGGCACTTCGTCGCTGGAAAGGACGATGAAAGGAGCTGAGAGATACACGAGCGCTGTACCCATAGCGTTTGCATTGACAGCCACACTAGTGGACGTTGCACGCAACTGAGGAGGGAACCAGTTCGCTGACAGCACAGCAGGAGAGTTGACCATGAAAGGCATCGCGATTGAGGCCAAAATCTGACCCAGTAGCGTCACGTAAGCCTCTCCAACTGGATCGAAAACACACGAGAAGTAGCGCAATCCAGCACCCAGAGCTTGCAAGAAACCACCAAGCAGTACACCATAGCGCAATCCCTTCTTGTCCATGATCCATGAGCCAACAAACGAACACGGAATGTACGAGATGAAGTAGACAGTGATCAATTCTGTCGAATGAAGCTGAGCCACACAAACGTGTCAGGTATTGTATACTTCATCTAGGACAATGATAGACTTACTCGTTCTTCCCACCGCTTCTCTACTATACTCGCTATCGGCGCATACGAGTAGCAAATGCCTTGATTAATGGCAGTAAGTACTGACAAAATTGTCAGCATGAGCCACTTCCGGTAAGTATATTGAGATGCTGTCGTGGTCTTGGGTCTGTCCATTTGTCCTAGAAAAGTACCATAGTCTAACACAATCTCACTGTCAGTAACTACAGCTTATGATACATGTTTGAAGTCCTAACGCACCTCCATTCTCCATGTCTTCATAGATAATCGTCGGCACCTTCTTATCGTTCGTAGAGTCCCCCAGCGGCAGCATCTTGATGATAAGCAGTAAAAAAAAAAAACTATTGAGGAAGCCTACTAGGAGAGCTGCAAGATCCCACGGTTGCCTGGCTAAATGAGGAACTTGCAACGCCTGAGCCTCATTCTTAGAGCGAGTGCCACTCGGAGTGGGCAGTTTCCCTCCATTCAAGTTGCCTACAGGCTCGCAATCGCAATGCACGCCCGTGCACTCGGCGCGCTTGACGCGGTCTTCGTCATGCAAACATGATTGGCGTTTTTTTTTAGACCTTTTCGTCTCAAATGCACAAAATAAAATATTTGGTCATTACTTTTTTATATTTGTCACTGATGAATTAGCGGTGAGGGAGTTAGCCATGTGTGACGATGTTGTGGCATTTGCTGAGAGTGAGGACACGAGTTCCTTGCTCCAAGACGTGCTTGCTTTTCTAGACAATTGCGAAGATGCCAGCGATGTCGGCCTTTTACCTGGTGGATCCAGTTCACCCGGCAGTACCCAGAGTTTTTCATCAGGTCCAGTCAAGAAGAGATATGGTAAGGAGCATTCGGCAGAATACGACAGACGCCGTCGGGAGAAGAAGAAAGCAGAACGGGAAGCGTTAAGGAACCAGGTAGTGCAATACGAGGCTCAGCTGGAGCTTCTGCGCCTTCAGAAACCTGGTAATACACAGGAAAACAAGAAATGGGGGTGGATCCATGCTGCGACGATGGAAGAAGAAAAGCGACACAAGGCTGAAGAGCTCAATCGACAATTGAAGGGACTGCTCTTCCAGCAGTTGAATACTGCGCAGATACTCCGTAATTTTATTGCTGGGCAGTCGACGTTGACTGAGGTAATAACGGTCTCATTTTGAATTTTGGAACCTCATTTTGATTTATATTTACTACTTTGATGTTACTTTGCAGCACGTTCAGTCCGTTATGGGAGGTAGAGCACCGTGTCCAGTTCCGATGCCGACGGGTTCTTTTGCCGGCCTTGGAGACATCGCGATGTATCTGAAAGGTGTGTTCAAGCACATTCAAGCTTCATCGGACTATGTGTTTGCATCGTCCCCTCTCTTCTCGGAAGCGAATTCATCGGACGCACTAATGAGCATGTGCTCGATTAAGCACCGAGATCCGATAGCTGGGTCGTGTATTGAGCTACTGAGCTCAACACCACTAGATTGTGGTTACGACGTTGCTGTGCCAATGCTGTGGGAAATGCTGCTTACTCGGCAGATATTCGGACCAGAAGCAGTACATTATGAACAAAAGGTAAGACTTGTCTTCTCGGTTAGACTAAAACAGGAGTGTAGTAGGACTAAAGCGGTACATTTGCCTTCAGTCGAAGCATCTGACGGCGAATTCAGCAGAAATAGGCTATACATTTAGCTTTGGAGCCCCAGATGAACCGACAGCCTTAAACGGTGTCACGCTCATGGGGAAATTCGAGAAGGAGGGAAGCGCTTTATTGGTTTGGACTTCCATGCTTGTTCAACGTAACGGACTGCCATCTATGAGGTCACAAGGGTGGATATCGATCACGAGACCGCTAAATCGACTGCATAAAGGGACCGTAGTGCGAATGTGCAGCCGTCTCTCGGGTAGGCACTTCGGAGTTCCAGGAGGATACACAGACGTGAATATCACAGTAGCCAAGAAGCATCAGCTGCTCGTAAAATCGAGAATCGAGCGTGTCCAGCATAGAATGGTAGATCTTGCCGAGCTGCAGAAGTAGTGATTTAAGTCGATACTGTCGACCCAACAAAGCGGGATTGGCTAACTATCGTTTTCAACTCAAAACTTAACTAAAGTTACTTGAGAACTTGATACGTCTGCTAATAATATCAAAGCTATGTCGTACCAATATAGTGTGTTTTTATGCCATTCCAGCTTCTATCTGATATGGTCCATACTTTAATTAAGTAGATTCGCGAAGTATATCTGATAACCTTTGTACAAATAATGCCACCATGCTGAATGTGCATGTGTCGGCCAAGCGTAGCATCACGGTAAATTACCCCCCCCCTCCCCCACCTGAAGTAATTTTACTGTTAATCCGTGTGGATGTTGCCCGAGCAGACTTCAGAGCGCAGGTGATGCGAGGCGCATCAGATGCCTACCACCGGTACTCTTCTTGTGCGACTCGCGCAGTGCGGTAACGTATGTACTGCTAGAGCAAAGAGTTCGAATAACAAAAACGAGTTGTATAGCAGCCATCGTGAACAAAGGTGACAATTATGTAAAATCCAGAGCTTCTCCGTGTAAAGCACGGCTTTGTGATGGGAATGATTAGCGTCGTGACTCAGTACTCATTCATTGCACTGTCGTTCCTACTTCTAATCACTGCAGACCTGATGAGTCCTATGCGAAACGTTCATCCTCCCCTGCACCTGATCGATGATATCGTAGTATAGGCTGCTTGCCGGAGTGAAGCTGCGATGATCAAGAAATTACTCTTTTGCCCCTTTAGTAGAAGTAATGGTGCTTTGGTATATTTTCAAACGGCCTCTACTACCCAGTTGCAACTACAAGATCGTGGGGTAGCTGGATACAAAACTAAAGTAGGACTGTAAAACATTAGTCGTTGGTTACCCTGCATAATAGTATTGTTATTTGATAGGTTTGTGTAGAAAAAGGTTGTAACCTATCATACAGCAATGCTATTTTGGAGGGTTTGCGTTAAACGTTTACAGACCTAGTAGAGCATGTGGCATGACTAGTCTCGAGACTCGACTACTAATCGCCTGCTGAACTTAGTATCATTCCCGCACGACTAATCTTCATCACGACTCACCCGTATAATACCTTCATCATTCGCTCTCTCAGTTTTCAAACTGCGCTGTCTTCCACTATCCCCACCCATCCAGTCATGTCCAGCAGCACCCTTTTCCCTCCGAACCGGGAACACTTCAGCGATGCCGTTATCAGTTCTGTTGTTCAGCGAGAAGCACCCTTTCGTTACAAGTCTTCTATAAGGACAGAATGGAAAGTGGACAAGTCTTCTCCCTCGGCCCCCTCGTATTCTGTGGGTACTGCAGACAAAGTCAGTGTCAACATTCCAAGTCGTCTGCCAAATATCACTGGTAACAAACGCCTTGTCTCCGATACAAATCACCACGATAGTCCCCGCTCCAAGGTACAAAAGACGCGAGCAGCATCAGTTGCTGATGGTGTAAGCGCCAGATACGCAGCCGAACTCGAGCTCCGACGTCAACGGAATCGCATCCACCAGGCTCGATACAAGACGAGGCAGCGAAAACTCGTGGCAGACCTCGAAGACTCCGTTAAAAAGTTGAAAACCGAGATCCCAGAACTCGAACTGCAGCATCGGCTGTTATCGTACGATCTTCCGTCGAACACTACCATATGGGCCATCGCAGCAGAGTACTGCCGCCTCTTCCGCCACGGTGTCAAGACGAGGGTTTTAGATACGGTGTCATTGCTCAATGACACGACACCAGTGCTCACTCAGACCCAAACCCAATTGGACTTTTTCAGAGCGGTAATGGCTCACGATGTGACGGACGGCGTGGTCTTTGGCGTTCAAGCGTTGATGAGCTCGATCGCGCTTCAGTCTCAGTGCTACCAGGAAATCGACCTACAGCCGCTGCATATGAACTTCGAACCTGGAGACTCTCTCGTTGTCACGACCAAATGCGAACTTACCATTACCGAGAGAACGATGTGTTATGGATTCCCCAACTTAGTCAAGAACGGCAAGTGGTCGTCCCTTGCAGTCAAAATGCTCGGGAAAAAGATTGTTATCCGCGGGTCGACGCACTTTGTCAGGGATGTTACAAGCGGACGAGTTACTCGACTTCAGTGGAAGGCAGACCTGTTAACACCGCTGCTTCATCTACTGGGAAGTCTGGAGGCTGTGTCCCGAGTGTTTAATGGTGCTAGATTGTCTCCTGAAGGCCTGGTACAGCAGAGCGAGGCTTGTAGTTAATTGGATATCATTGCACTTAACGATATGCCCTTGGAGTAATAAAGAAGCTGCGCTCAGTTATCGGAGTATATCAAGTGGTGAGAATACTGTGCAATACCATGCGTAATTTATCAATTTGGGCTCCTCAGTGCTACTGTGTTGTCACAATTATCGATAAGAAGTATCCTCGTCTTCTTAGTGAAAGACCCAGTGGCAATCTAATCTGATTATTACTGGTGGATGGAGAACAGGGAATACAGTAAAAAATTGAATTGATGTCTTATATTTCAATAATAAAGATAGCAATTAGAGTCGAGCAATAATAAATATTGCCGCAACTTTGTCACGTCCTCTTTCTTGTTCTACCTTCGTCTTCTCCTACCGCATCTACCTAGCTTTTTTTTAATAGCGTTCCATCACCACAAATAACAAAACCGATACCCACAATATATTATTTGACGGACGGATACAGGTGACAACTGACAACTTTACATGCTTCACGTAAAGTGCACCTCCTTCGCCAATATTTGACTGTCAACTACGGCGAAACTTGCCTTCTAAACTTGATGAATTGTCTGCAAAAGTACGATTCGTTTTACTACATACCAGTTTTACTACATACCAGTAGGTGATTTGTTTTAATCAAGGGTCCCACCGACACCTAAAATAATTGCAGTGTAGTCCAAATTGATTGTATAAACAGAAGTCCATTTGTTTTAAAGTTTTCCTCTGCACTAACACTAGTGACTGTAGTAACATCCCACATGGTACGGTTGACACGAAGAAAAGATAGTAGTTCGAAGTTGGCGGGAAACATCGCAGATCTCTGTGGCGTCAGCACGAGTTTGCACTGGGAGAACAATCGTTCCACGATGTTGGAGGTCGGTGGTATCATTTTCACGAGCGGTCTGTAGCTTGTCGCACCTTGAGCTCGCTTCTGATGCTCACACCAGCTTGTGTATGATGCCACTAGACTTTCAGGCCACTTTTGCCATTTTTATTGTCAATTATTGGTTCAATAAAATTTGTATTGCTGAATCAATCCAATAATAAATACTGCTATTGCTAAACCCAATAATTTATTGAATTGCTATTTTTTTCCGTCCCCTGATGGAGAAGCAGAACAGAGGCAAAAATTGCGAAATACTGTTATGAGTGCCACGTCGTAGCAGAACTGGGGCAGTGCAGGATACTGAATAAGAGTCCGGACGATAGAGTATAAGCTAGACGCAATCACGAATCATAGGAATTCGTCGGGTGAGGTTCGACAGGTACGTTTAGTTGGCACACAAGCGAACATTTGCGTATCCCTCTACCAGGACGTCTTTCCACTACGATGCTGTAAATGAAAAGCACGGTTTGTGACGTGATCGAATAGCTAGCGAATAGAATATATTCCGTTTCAAGTTACCTTTGGCTTCTGTCTAACGTAATGATTAGTATCTTGATTCATTCACAACCCGACGGTACAGTAGCGACATGTATTTTAAAATAATTTATATTGTACTGTAAATTGTACAAAAATGTTATTTAGTTGAGTTGCTAGGTTTCGTGACAAACTTCGTCATTAATCCATGTGATTGTCGTTGCGGTAATTCTCGGCAAGGTTATCGACCTGGTTGATTCGAGAACCCGAAAATTGCGCCAAACCATAATGCCAACTCGGCTGGATATGTATGACGTGGAAGCGTACGTCCTTAACGGGCCATCTAGGTGTACTTCATCCACAGTACCTTCGAGCATACGAATTCTTGTCGGAGTCGTAAACGGACGTACGGTAAAAACAGCAGTCTGTCGGGTAGCCAAGAGTCGTGATCATGGCCATCCAATCAAGCTCAAACCATAAACGTGCTTGACAGTATTTCACAATTGTAATTGACGTGATTGCATCAGAACCGTGTTAAAGTATACATGTTTTGCAGATCTTTTAACCCTTAGAAGATAGCAAGGTATCTTGTTGACTTCGTATCAGTTTGACGTACTAATCACCGCCATGGATCGTTCCCTTCGTTAATCATCTCACTTTAAAACGTGCTTTCTTTCAGCATCTTCCTCCAGTAATGAAGGTCAGTACTCTGTTTTCTCGTAACCGGGAGCACGTCAGCGACGTCGTCATCGGCTCTGTGATCCTACGCAGTGAACACTACCACAATTACTATCGTAACGACACTTCAGAATGGCGAACAGATAGATGCTCTCCGACTTCCAGCTCCTCGTCTTCTGCAGACATCAAGAGTGGACTCGATTTCATCGATGCAAGTCGTTTGCCTGGCATCACAGGTCACAAACGAGCTCACACCGATACCTTGAACTGCCGAACGCCTTACTCGGAACTACACCAGACTCATGCTGTCTCGTCTGCCATTGACTTCGAAGCCAAATACGCAGCCGAGCTTGAGTTCCGACGCCGACGGAATCGCATACACAAGGCACGCTACAAGATGAAGCAGCGAAAACTCGAAATGGATCTCGTGGAATCTGTTGCAAACCTGAAAGACGAGGTCCAGGAGCTTAAGATGCAGTATAGATTGCTATCATATAGAGTTCCGACTACCACTACGATTTGGGTCATCGCTGCCGAGTACTTTCGTCTCTTTCGCCACGGCATCAAGGGACCAGTCATCAAGAAAGAGCCCGTTCTCACTGCTACGACGACAAGCCTCACCATAAACCAAGCCCAACGGCACTTTATCGAGACGGTGATGGCAGACGATGTCACAGACGGTGTGATCGTCGGTATCCAGGCGTTCATTGATAGTATCGCTCTTCACTACCAGTGCTACGACGAAATCGACCTACGGCCTCTGCACATGGTCTATGGACCGGGTGATTCGCTCGTCGTCACAACCAAATGCGAGCTCACCATTACTGATAAAACGGTTTCCCCAATTTGGTGAAGCACGGGAAATGGTCCTTCCTTGCTGGCAAGATGCTCGGCAAGAAAATTGTTATCAACGGATCGATGCATGTCGCCAGGGATTATGGAAGCAAAAGAGTTACTCGACTTCAATGGCAGGCAGACCTAATGATACCACTGCTACGTCTATTGGGAAGCCTGGAGGCTGTGGCTCGTGTGTTCAACAGTGCTAGACTATCTCCTAATGGCATGATCACGTCGAGTGATAGTCTGTAGTTCTGGTTTTTGTGGAAAATGCACGCTTTGCAGTCATTGACACGAGATATGTGGCTGGATCAATGTAATGCATTTAATGCCCTCCAAAATTGTCCTGAAACGGTTTTATCAGTTTAAGCGGTAATTTATTTTAAATTACAAAACGGTTTAATTTTAATGCGTATCAATGGAATGGGACCTTCGGGTATAGCACAAACAAATTACATTAAAAAAAAAAACAAATATGAAGGCCATTTATCATCAAAAAAATATTAATAAGTGAGACCAAGAGAGTCAGTGGCATAACCGAACATGTGGTAATCGTTTTGTACCAAACTCGGCGACTAATCATCACCATGATTCACGTTCTTTTGTCACTCACACCTCAAAATTTGAGGATCAAATCGAAAATTGCACTTTCATTTACGACAACAAACGCGATCATGAACACAAGTACTCTCTTTCCCCCCAACCGTGAACAGTTCAGCGACGCAGTCATCGGCTCTCTGATGCAGCGAAATGAACACTACCCCAGCAATAATATACAGAGGACAGAGTGGAGAACTACCAAGGTCAGTCGTCAATCATATTCTGCTGCGTTGGCAACATCTGCGCTACCTGCGGTACCCAATGCTTGCAAACGCCTTCTCTCCGATAAAGTGTGCGGTCAGATTACCATTTCCAACGAGCGGAAGATGCGAGCAGGGGTTGATTATTCAGACGCCAAGCATTCCGCCGATGTCGAGCTAAGACGCCAACGCAATCGTATGCACCAGGCACGTTACAAGATGAAGCAGCGTCAACTCGTGGCAGATCTCGAAGCCGCAGTGACGCACTTGAGACAAGAGATCCAAGAGCTTGAGATACAGCAACGATTGCTATCGTACGGACTTCCGACAACCACGACAATCTGGAACATCGCTGCTGAGTATTTCCGTCTCTTTCGCCACGGCACCAAGGGCTCCACTATGGTAGAGAACGCACACATTGAACCAGCGTTAAACCTTCTCCACAGTCAGGTTCAATGGGACTTTATGAAGACGACGATGGCTCCTGATGTCACAGACGGAGTGGTCATCGGCATCGATGCGCTGATAGAGAGCCATGCTCTTCAGTCTCGATGCTACGAAGCCATCGACCTGCAGCCTCTGCGTATGGACGATGGACCTGAAGGGTTGCTAATTGTCTCGACCCAATGCGAGCTCACGATTACTGAAAACATGCTGGTCTGCGGGTTCCCCAATCTGGTTAAGGATGGAGAATGGTCCTCCCTTGCTGACAAGATGCTCGGTAAGAAGATCGTTATCTACGGATCAACCCATTTCTTCTGGGATAACACAAGAGGACGAGTAGTGCGTCTCCAGTGGAAGGCTGACGTCATGACAGCATTATTGCGTCTACTTGGAAGCCTGGATACGGTGCCGCAAGTGTTTAACGGTGCTAGAATGTCTCCTGAAGGCATGGTCAAGCCCAGCCTGTAGTGTAGCCTCCATAATTACATATAGTAATTGCTCATAAATTCTTGCAACATACAAATGTTGGTCGTGTGGGCATAGAATGATTGTAACACATGAGTCCAGTGTACCGCACCATTTGGTATTTTATACATTGGTACAAGGATAATGAGCTCCGAAGTGCCGTTCTTCGAGCTAGAAGACGCTCAATCAGTGCTTCGAGACGTACTGGCCTTCATCGAAACGTGTGAAGACGCAAATGCATCGCCCACGAGTGTTCAATTGTCTAATCGAGACCGTGACAAGAAGAAACGCGCAAGAAATTATTCCCCAGACTACGAGCGTTCTCGACGCGAGAAGAAGAAGGCGGAGAGGGATGCCCTTCGATGCCAAGTAGATCAGTACACGACACAGTTGGAACTTCTACGGACTCAAAAAACCACTCAAAGGGACGAATCCAAGTGGGGTTGGGTCCATGCTGCTACACAGGAAGAGGAGAAGCGACAAAAGGCTGAGGACCTTAACCACCAGCTCCGAGGGCTACTAGTGCAACAATTCAACGTCGCGCAGACGTTCAAGAACTTGCTTACCCTGGAGGCAGGCTTTGCTACGGTAGGTCTTACGATATTTGACTCTTGGTATTGATTCCTTTTACAAAGCTAAGTATTTTTCTATGCTGTGAGTTACAGCTAGTGCAGTCGGTCTTGAGTAGCTGCCCACCGTGCTCATCACCGACGAAATTAAGCACGTTCTCTACTTTGAGCTCGATCACATCGCATTTGAAAGGATTGTTTGGTCAGCTGTGTGATTCATCAGACTACGTGTTCGACTCAACCTCGATCTTTTTTGATGCGAACTCACTGGTGTGCGCGGCCAACTTAAAGTATCAAGATCCGATCTCTGGGCCATGTATCGAGCTGCTTAGCTCGACTCCTCTGCCGTGCAACATGGAAAATGCGGCTTCGATGTTGTGGGAAATGATGCTGGCCAAGGAAGTGTTTGGTCCTAACTCTGGATGTTACACGATAAAAGTAGGTTTCTTTTGTTGTGAATTTATGAACCTTCGTGTGGCTTATACTAGTTGTTTTGACAAGGTGAAGCAGCAAACGGAAAGCTCTGCGGAATGGGGATATTCCGTCCGCTTCAATGGGCCTGAGGCCTCAGGAGCTGTCGACGGGGTGACATTGATGGAGAAATTCGACAAAGCTGGCCAAACTCTTATTGTATGGACGTCGATGATGGTGGAATCTGATGGGAATCCGTATTTCACGTCCCAGGGATGGATCTCGGTCAAAAAGCTACCGAGCAATCCCGACGGTGAGGCTTTTGTTCGGATCTGCAGTCGTCTGGCTGGCCTACACTTAGGCGTTCGATGTGACGGTGACAAGGTCGACGTTCCTGTTGCTAGGAAACACCAGTTCATGGCGAAATCCAGACAGGAGCATGTCCAGCTTAAGATTCTGGAGCGTGCAGAGCTTCAAAAAAGTGTTCTTTAGCTAAAAATATATATATATATATATATATAATAGTATTCAAAATAAATTATTATTGTACTAAAATAGGTTTTTGTTATGATATATTTAGTTTTGTGTTGAGACCTTCCTGTTAACTGCTTACGTACTACTACTAATGAGTTCCGAGCTACAGTTTACTGAACTGGAGGAGACTCAGGACTTACTACAAGACCTTCTGGCCTTCCTCGACGACAATTTATTGAGTGAGGAGGCCGCAGCGTCATCTATTGCTTTGAACATAAGCCAAGGTCATGACATGAAAAGTCGTTCGAGAATATATTATGCAGCCTACGATCGATGTCGACGCGAGAAGAAGAAGGCGGAGAGGCAAGCTCTTGTGAGTAAAGTGGCTCTGTATGAGAAGCAGCTGGAGCGACTACGAGCTCAGAGGTCCAAACCTTGTACAAATTCCAAATGGGGGTGGGTACATGCAGCTACAGATGAAGAAGGAAGACGACGCAAGGCCGAGGAGATAAATCGTAACTTAAAGGGGATATTGGCACTCCAACTTAACACTACCAAGATATTACACACCTACATTAATCATGAAGCGCTGCTTCTTACTCAGGTACGATAAATCTTAGCATTTAGAACGCTCAAGTTTATCTACTCACTTGGTGCTCTACCTCAGCGAGTCCAGAGTGTAATGGCGCAGTATTCGCCATACAAAACACCGAAAACTACAGGGATTTTTAGAAGCTTTACTGTTATTGGTGAGTATCTGAAAGGGATGTTCCCTCGACTTCGAACTTCAGCAGAATTCGTGTTTTCTTCCACTTCTTTAGCGATGGAAGATCCAAATTTGATCGGAGCATTGATGAGTTCAGCAAACGTCAAATGCGAGGACCCCATGGTCGGTCCTTGTATTGAGCTTCTTAGCACGACGCCTTTGCCATGCAATTTTAAGAGTGCTGTTTCGATGCTGTGGACCATGCTTTTGGAGAAGAAGGTCGTAGGATCCCATGCTGGAAGCTACACCATGAAGGTTAGCATTCTCTACGTCATAATTTGCATTGCTGTGTCACTGATAGTGTTTTAATACAGACCAAACTACTGTCCGAGTGCTCAGCAGAATTCGGATACTCCAGCTCGGATATTCCGGATTCATTTGGATATTTTGACGGCGTTACTTTGTTTGAGAAACATCAAGATGACAACCGAGCTATTCTACTGTGGGCGTCGATGTTGGTGGATCTACAAGGAAAGCCGTTTTCTCTCTCGCATGGATATCTCTGCGTGTCAAGGCTGTTAAGTAACCCACAGCAAGAGTCCGTCGTTCGCAGCTCCAGTCGTCTTTCCAGTACGTTATTCGGACTCTCGGCCGATCGAGCTCAAGTGAACACACCGGTCGCAAGAAAGCATCAAATCGCTTCGAAGACAAGACTTGAACGTGCCCAACTGAGGCTGATGGAGAATGCTGGACGTCAGAATGAAGACTAGTAGGCATCCGAGTAACCGCAAACAAATCACTCCGCGTTGACAGGTTTCTCATTTAGCAAAAATTGTTTCTCTTCTCTGCTTAAACCCGTCATTTCGACACCTTTCTAGCGGCTGTGCATTCTCATCGCACCACTCTCTCATCCCATCCATCGTCCGGGCATAGACACGATTGGCAGCGCAGTATAGCGTGTATGATTCCACTAAATCATTTTACGCACACATGAACAAGGCAGTCGTCACCTTCAAAATTTAAGCATTCACAACACTTCGCGTCTTCCGAGATATCGCTGAGTTGAGTTTTACCGGATCGTTTTTTCTTATCTTCATTCTCAGGCATGTTTTGACGTGTTTTGCTGGTATTTTTAACAATAAGAAAAACGTGGCAGCAGTTGTCAACTTCCGTTCTATTCTTTATTACCAAGTGCATTATATTTTTCTTACTCAAGTATTTTGCACGCTAGGTTATAAAACTCGCCAGATCTTGTCTGCCAGTTTCGATCAGCATTTTTCTCTGAAGCATGTGATGTTTCGCCTTCATCTTGGCTCCTATAGCTCCAAGTGCATGGTTACGGACTTGGTCAATGTGTTCGCCGTCAATATAAGTGCATCCTTTAGCTTTCTCAGCACTGAGACGGTAATTGACGCGAATTACAGACTCCTGATCAGCTGAAGGAGCTGAACGTGCTGCGGCCATCCACGAACATTCACGAAATGATATTTTACCACTGTGGTGGAAAGAAATCGCAGCCCATATGACCAATTCGCAGTCATCTTCACTGTGTCTGCGCAGTAATCCAACGCCATCCAGACACTCATTTACCCTGGATCCTCCAAGATCCACCGTGAATTCCTTCTCCACTTCTCCTTCTGTATACGTTCTCTTCGCCTACAGTAATTAAAAACAAGTATAAATAAAAACATAGATAAAAAAATGCATTCCACGACAGGTTTCGTACCCGAGTTCTACGCATTTTGAGATTTGGTTGAGAAGGATCAGGTATAGAGAACATGGCCGATAACAATCCTCTAGCCGAGTCTAAGCTGCAGTCAAGTGGTGTTTCCGACGTCAGTTGCGTTGTTGGCCCAGCTTTTGGGTCCAGTCTGACGTTGTAGTGGCAAGCGAGTGCTGGAATTGACGCTGCCGCTCCCGTCACAGGGTCCACCGTTGACTTGGCTTCATAGTACATTTTGTCCATCAACGTCATGATTTCTTTCCTCACAGCCACTGGGTCATTTTTCAACGCTGCAGGACTGCAATGTATAGCGGACGGCGTCGAACTCAGCAGCATTGAACTAGCCAAAGATACTGTCTATAACAAAGTGAGACCAACGTTCCTAGCCACTTTTAATTGTCAAACTCTCACCTCCATCGACTGACGCTTGTCTAGTATGGATTGTAGACTTTTCGACCATTTTTTCTCGGCTGCCAGTGCCTTTTTGAGCGACATATTGAGCAGTTCCGCCTCCACTCGCTGCTTCTGCATCTCCGGAGTCACACAACTCGATTCTCTCAATTCGGAGCTTCGTACACTGCCGCCGCTCTCTCTCAGTTGGGATAGATACATTTCCAGACGCTGCGCCTGCATTTGCAACTGCAGACGCTCCTCCTTCTGCCGCTGTCGTCGTCGAAAATCCCGTTCGCGGTTCTGCTCCTGACGACTGCGTTTGAGGCCCCCAGAGTCGCTTAACGAGTGCTTTTCATTGGGGATATCCGACAGAATCGGGACCTCGTCACTCGCGTCGATCATGGCAAAAGCCTCTTGCATCGTCGCCTGGGGATCTTCATCGTCCTCCAGGAGCACGAAGCTCATGCTGGTCAAACTAGAATGGCCATGTTGGAGCCAGTCTGCTATATTTGTGTGACATGGCGAGTACAGTCCACCCACTAGGTCCACCTACACTAATAGACAGTTCTAATATCCGATAAACGGTGATAAAGCTTTAAGAAGGATCAGGGTATTTGGGTACAATCATGACTGTTTTCGTAACTAGAATATTATAACCCTATGTAATAGCATATTCTAATACACTATTTATTGGCGCCGAGAACTATACACGCTGACCCCATCAAAAGATGGACTGACGTAGCGGAGTTCATGCTGTCGTTGTTGTAGTGCTCGAATAAAACTTCGTTTGCGGTACTTCTCCTCTGAGGCAGTACCATTCTGGCCCTACTGTACGTAAATACTACTTCGAAGTAAGAGGTTACAGTTCGCGATTTACGAGTAAACTCTGCTCGACTCCCTGTAGTACCGCCTCGAATCCCACTCGCTTCACCTTGGACAGTATTTCACACGTCCGATCGACGAATTGTTGACGGTTGGGCAACTCGCAATCGAAATGGACGTACATGCTCATGCAGTCCTTCAGCATTGTCACTCCAGGTGATAGTTCGCTCAGAACGAGCCAATGTTTCTCTTGGGAATGAACGCCACTGACAACTGCTCCAAAAGCGTCGAGCAATTGGCCTTGACCTGAAACAACAAAAACCTGGCGGTCATTGTCGACGATTCGTCTGCCTGCATAGCGGAACTGGACCTTGAACAGACTTCCTTCTTCTTCCAGTTCCATTGTGTACGCTTGTGACATCATCTCCCGCGGTGACTAGTACACATCAACGTTAGAAATCGCTAGAATTCAACTTGTGCATAACAGTTTTTTAGGAAGTATTGGGACCATACATGTCCGTTTTCAGCTGCACTCTCCACAGAGTTCTGGGTTATTTCGTGCCAGAATGCGTCTGCGACTTCCTTGTAGTCGAATGGAACGATCCGACTCAATAGAACGTCAACATAAGTAGAGTTGTCGGTCACCGGGCTGGAGTTCGTTCGGGAACAGGGTGAAGTGAAAGCTTCCAGTCCAGTTGACAATAACGCAAGGTCCGTGTCAGCGTATAGTTGCCCAAGGTCCCCGTGAAGGCGATCTAAGGCTACTAAAGCGTTGTCGTCTACGTAAAAGAAAGATTGACCACAGTAACTTTTCGGGAAGCGGAGGGTTCTCTGGAATACATAATCACTGTGAAAAAGACTTCATGTTAAAAGCTTTGAATATACGAACTAACCTTCACTTGCTCCTGCGTCTGCAACAGTCTTCTCAACGTTTCTATTGTTGCGACTTGATGAGTATAGACACCACAAAGGTGTTGGTTTTCCGCCTCAGATTCTTTCCGAAGCCGGCGGTATTTTTTTGCTAGATCCTTCCACACGCCGAAGAGGAGACCATTGTCTTGGTCGAAAGTCGGATTCATCACGTCGACTATTGCGTCTTCAGCATCAG